TTCCTAACATATACATATTTAATATTTTGCTTATTGGCAGTTTCTTTTGTTAAATATTAATAAATTATGAAGATATTTGTATATTCCAATTATTGCATTCTAAAATTTTTATTTAAATATACAACTGGATTTATTTTAACTGTAATAATAAAAAACATTATATGAGAAGATAAAACATTTAAAAAAAATAAATATAAATGTTAAAAAATTAATTGATTTAGTTAATTTATCTTTTATCTTGTATAAAAAGGTGGATTATAAAATAATTTTGCACTTTTTTACATTAACATTAAAAAATATTATATATTGTGTATTAAAAAAAATACAAAATTTTATCAATGAACATCTTGGATTGAATTTCAAAATTAAATGTTTTATTTTGTATCTCTTTGTCTATAATTTTTATTATATTATCTTTCATTTTTCATGTTTCCACAGTATTTTTTATTAGTAAGAATTTTTTTCTTAACCAAATTAATTAATTCTTTGTGGTTAGTCTAGAATGCAAGTACAATTGTACAAGCAAACACCAAGTACCAGACATTAAATTTTTTTTATGTAAAGGCATTAATTTCTTTAAATACATTTTACAATTAAAAGTAGCAAAGAAATTTAGTTAAAAAGAAATAATAAAGTTGTTTACTATAATTATTTTTAAACATTAGCATAAAGTGCTGAATGTGGAATGAGTAAATTTAATTTTCTTTCTATACTGTAAGGATTTAAAATTATTTAATTGTGGTTGAATACAAATATTGTTCACATGATAAATTCATGAAATTTGACAGTGTCCACAATGTACATTATCTCATGTAGCTTTTCAATGAATCAAAGCTATTAATTCAATTTTAATTAAATGTTGAATGACATTGTTTTATTATTCTGTTATAAAAGGATAAATTTTAAATAAACTGAATTATATGTCATAATAAAAATGAAACAAGAAAATTAACTCATTTATATATACTTATGTATACACACTTATCTTCATTACAAGAAAAACAAATTTTGTTTAAAACATTTTTGATCATTGTTTCAAAATAGTAAGATACAAAACATAAAACTGAACTAAAGATTGAAATAAGATACCAGTATAGTTGATCTGAGTTAAAAATTCACAAAAACAAATTTACAAATTTTAAAATAAAACAAAATTTAAATTTAACTATTTTCTCTGTATAATGACTATTTGATTACAAAAGTTTTTTAATTTATTAGATGAATAAATAAAAAATTTAAAGATAATAAGGTATCATCTCTGAAATAGATGATCTATATAAAGGTAACATTTGCTTTCTCAGCAGTACAGGTCGACCCCATATAACACGGTAGATACGTTCCGGTTTTTATGAATCCATTTTCTATGAGTCCAACCAATCACAGCCCGGCACATATGCAGTTTACAGACTATGGCTGTTTGAAAGGTTTCTTCCATAAAATTAATCGATTCTAGACTAATTCGACTCAACATTTCCAAATTACGTATAATTTTTTGGGAAAATCCATATAAACTATGCTATAAACAAAAAATCATAGGATTACTTACCGAGTGTGCACCGTTTGACTACGCCATTGCTTAAGCTTGTTTTGTCATGGAGCTTGTCATCGAATGGCACTCGCGTGCTTCCTGATAAATTATTTTTTTTTGCGAAAAATTCGCTGAACTTTGGAAACATCATTAATATAAATATAATTTTTATGGACGTTAAATAATAAATAGTTTTTAGTAGGTCCGCTGCTCGTTTAAACTCAACGGTTTGTACAATATCCGCTATTGGTCTAGATTCAACCAATCCTGTCACAACACGAGTCGGCGATGACATTTTACCGAATTATATGAGTTTTCTTTAGCATGTTTGTATGAATACTGTCGCAATTTTTTTGCCATGATATAGGAATCCGAACTATAGGAACCCGTGTTATGGGGGGTTGACTGTATTCAATTATAAGAAATACAATACTAGAAAAATTTCTATCATTTTCTTTGATGAACAATGTAATAATAAATATAAAACAGACTTTTGTAAGATATAATGTTGAAATAAATTATTTATAAGAAAATTCATTTGCAATATTTAAAGATAAAACTAATAAAGGAAACTCAAAGAAAAACCATTCATCAAGTTTGACATTAATTATGAAATATAGAATTTCACACACAATCAAAAAAATTCAAAATAAAGTATATTAATAAATTTGAAGTACAATTTTTAAAATTTTAAATCTACATAGTGAAAATTTCAGAACTTATTTTGATGATAATATCAAACATGTTTACTAAGTAAAAATTAAACTACAGTTAAGAAATTTATTAATTTAATAATGCTACACTAAAAAATTTTTTCTTATAAAGAAGACAGAAGAATTTAAATAGAAAACATCTGTTTTCTGTTAGTCTATATAGTTTAAAAAAACTAATAATATATTTGAAACTAATTATTTTTGTTTCATAAAGCAATATTTAAAATTTTATCTGGATCCTTAAAATGATTATTGAAAATTTTTAAAGATCTGGATATATAATACAAAAATCAAATTCATGATTTTCAACATCAGTTTTGAAAAAATAAACTAATTAAAAATCTTGTTTGTTTATGTGTTTACATATACTGTATATGAAACAATACAAACAATTATATCATTTTAGTCAAGAAAAGAATTGCCTAGTTAATTGTAAATCTTATATTCAATCTCGTATTTTGTTTTTCTAATAAACAGTTTTTTTATAAAATACTTTTTGTGCTATTTACAACTCAACAGCTACATTTCATTATTTTACATACAATTAAAGAATGCTATATTCAACACTTAAATATAACAAATACCATTTAATCATTTTTGCAATAAAATTTAGCATTGTATTCATATATTTTACTTTTAAAGCATAATAATGTTTATAATAAATGAATAATTTTTGATTAACTGATTCAAAGAAAAACTAATGTTAAAAGTGAAGAATTGACACATCACAAAAAAAATATATATTTGAGAATTGGAATAGGAAAAGTCATTTTCCATATTTTTTTTTTTAAATTTTTAATTTAATTAAATGCTCAAGATTATAATATAACACAGTTTTAATAGTACAAAATGTCACTAAAACAAACTTCTTTCTTAAAGCAGACAAAGTTATAACATTGTTACTTTGTTGTGGCAGATACCATCCATCATTACTACCTTTACATAGTTACTGAACTCTGCATGGTCACCATTAGAAAACTTCCAGACTAAACAATTTCATTTTTCTTACATGTACAGTCCTATTTTATTCTTTGTAAATTTATATTTTTAATTATATCATACAAAATGCATTCATTACAATCTATTATACTTTTCCCTATAAAATTTTCATCTTAAAATTACAATTAAGTGTGCTCTTGTTGATGACAGAATTAAATTTTTAAATTATTTGAATAATAATTTAGAACACAACTGAAAATAAATAAAATTTTAACATGAAACTGTATGGTTTTCAAATTTTTTATGAGTCAAAAGTAATTGGTCATTAAATCAAACTTTACATTACATACAGTATTTTCTAGTATAAAAAAAATTATATGCAAAAATAATAAGACTACTTATTTCAACTATTGTTTAAAAATATCTTTTTATTATATATTGTTATATTTCATCAACTGAATAAATTTTTTTCTGCACAGTACATTAAATAATATTAACATATAAATTATGTTGTGATCAATGGCATGTGACAACGTTTATTCATCCACATTTTTCTAAAATCTAAATATTTTATACAAAGCTATTTCATTGTAATCAGTCAATTTAATATTTCTAATATCATTAAAATTTCCCCACAGAGATTAAATCAAATTATAGTAACCTGTTGCAATTTAGTATTATTAACATGTCTATTTTACATATAATGTATACATGAATATCTATTTTTAGATGAAACTCTTTCTGAATTAAAATAAATTTTAAATTAATAATAATTAGGTTCATAACTTGCTTTTAAATCAATCTAAACATATCATTTCTGGCAGAAAATTGCCTATAATTTATTTTAAATGACGATCATCACATTTTGAAAATGAAAAATGAAAGACATTTAAGAAAAACAATCAAAATGGTATTTTTCTCATAAAAGCATAAGGCATACAAAATTTAAAAACCCCAATTCCTATATAACTTTACTCGGAAAAAATATAAATTACGCATAAATTCTAATTTAAAAAGATTACGGATCAAAACTACAAAACATTTAAAACCCAAAACAATCCATAATCTAACTAAATCAAAACTGGGTATACTTAATAAACAAAGTGAAGGAAACCAATTTCCAGCACAAAATTATAAAAAAGCGATCCCTCGTTTTAACAGCGGGGAAGGTCAGTTTGCCCAAAGATGCCTGCTGAAAACATTCATTTTCTCATAATCCCTCATTGGAAATTGGTTTCATAAGCCTCACCCAAAACAATCCATAACCAAACTAACTAAAATCAAAACTGGATATACTTAACAAACAAGGTGAACGAAATCAATTTCCAGCACAAAATTATAAGAAAGTAATACTTAGTTTTAACAGCAGCAAAGATGGGTTTGCTAGAAGATGTCCGCTTAACACATTCAGTTTCTCACAATCCTGCTCTGGAAATCGGTTTCGTCCACCTCACCCAAATAGGAATTTTTTAAATCTACATATATATACATATATAACATTTTACCATAAAATTTTAAGTTGTCAAGACATACAAAAGAATTAAATCTAACCAAACTCACTTTTGACTAGATGCAGACTTAAAAAACAAAAAGAATGTCTTGACATATGGTATGTAACTGTCACCAACCAAGAAAGGTTTCTCAGACATATAATCGAGTCTAACGTCATAAATATTAATTATTACACGGAATACATCATTAAACTTTTGTAATATTGTAAGAAATTAAAGAGTTTTTTTTCTCAAGTGATGTGTTGGCATGACATGATAGATATAAGACTTAAGTTAGAATTTCTGGACATGGTTTTAATATGTACTTACCGTGGAACATGCATGGTAAATGATCATGGACACAGAAACTAAGCTCAGTGTAAAAATCAGTTCCGCGAGTATACACTTCGCTCGTTTCATAAAATCCAGCAACCATTGTAGTTAACATCAGGAACAAATTAGTTGGGTGGGGCCCAACAGCGACAATTGTCAAACGATGCCAAGTTCATTTGTGGCTCCAAATAACATATATTAAGGCACTAAAAGTACTCAATTGTTTCGTATTAACCAATTAATTAGGGCTTTATCAAATCCGACTTAAAAAAAATCCAAAAAACTCGTAGTGTGTAGGTGGTGATTGCGTCATTGAAAACAACTGTAGCATCAAATGTGGATGATACCGTGCAAATACGGTAAGCATAATTGAACATTCGCACGTATAACACATAAATATGATTATGGAATGTTAATAATATTGTCAATCATAAATTCTTTCCAACAATAAAAAAAAAAAAGCTTTATAACAACATCAACGTACTCACGTCAACACTAAGCGCCCCCTGGTAGCCAATTATGTCGTTAGCAAAACTGATATCGAGATGTAACATAATTTATATTATTATTTTATTTTTTATTTTTATTATTATTATCGTAGTTGTTATTTTCTTAAATTACATGTTAATTCGGCGAATTTATATTTGTTAAATTTTGCCGTTTACATTGTGAAAATTGCTTACTGCAATACAATATTTCCGATTTGCAGAAACGCAACGCCATTTTTGCTAATTCGATACATTTATTTGTAATCGATTAATCGATTACACATAAAAGTAACGCGATTAATTCGATATAATCGATAAATAAGTGAACAATTTATTGTTTTTTATGCAAACGAGTATAAAATTACTTGTTTATTTTGTTATTACATTTAAAATATGTTAATATATTATCGTATTTACGTTTTTACAACTTGTATTTTTTTTATCGCTAATTTAAAATGTTTATTTTTTTAAATTTATAAATTTAATTCTTATATTATCGAATGATAATTAAAATTTTTGAGGATTTTTAAACATAAATCATTTAATTATTACAAAACACTTTTTAAAATCATAGAAAATATGTCATATGTTTATTTTAGCTTCCTTAGTTTCTACATTAATTAATCATATATATTTTTTTCACGTAATAAATCTTACGATTACTTATCTAATATTTAAGCTTTAAGGAAAATTTAAATATTAAACATTATTGCTTGGATACATATTAATTTCCCTTCCTTAGTAAATTAGAAAGATAAAAACTTTTTAAGATAATGTGAAACCGAATCTTTAGTATTTAGTATCGCTGTAAAACGTTTATTCATTTTAAAATCATTTAACTAAGGAAGGGAAAAAAACATGAATTTATTTGACATATAATTAAACATTTCAGATTTGATAATACTGTAGACCTTTTTTATAATAAATTAAAAATAAAATGTCTCGTATTTTTACTTTACATTTTTTATATATGCTATTTTTGTCAATACTATCGATAGCGTTAAATACGACCTTGTTGAATGCCCTTAAAACTTCGTCAGGCTCGTTTATAAGGTCACAAATAAACAAGGTCATGAATAAGGTTACGTAGTTCAGACCGCTTTTCTCATTAATGCGACATTATTTTGCTTATATATATACTGATACCATTTTTACGTAACATTCTTAGTAATACGTTAGAAATGTTGTAACGGTTTAACATATTTTTTTCATCCTCGAATGTCGAACTGTTATCTTTATTTCACCTTTAGTAATGAAGATCCGTTTTTATTTAAAAAAAACTGACGTATTTTCAAAACAACTAACTTTACGAAGGAAATTGAATATGGTGTCCTCAATATTGTTTATTTTCATTGTGACGTCATGAAATCATTATCATTCTCAAAACTCACTTACGTTTAAACTAATACCAGGAACACAAACAAAACAAATAATAGAATGCCACTTATCCTGATATTAGACTGAAGGTCATCCGGATATATATATGGCCGGATATTCATAAACTTTGTTATCGTCTTGCTTAAAATTTATAATGCGACATTTATAAAATACTCATTAAAATAAATTTATAGATTTTTCATGACTCCACGCGCCGGGTTACAACTGTATATAGTATTCATATTTTTNTTTATATATGTCTGGATATATTTATATTTTACATATATCCAGACATTTATATATTTGTAACATACATATATAATATAGCAATATTAAATATTGCTCTAGGAAAAAAATTGAATTTAAAACTCAGACTGAAATAGCTATTTGTTAGGGTTGGTTATTTTGAAAAGATTACAACCTCCATAATAAATTAAATATATGTGAAATTTAAACAACTATTGTTAACATAAATCAGATTATTGAAAATTTACTAAGTAAATTACATAAAGTTTTAAATTATTGAAATTTAAGAGTTTGTACTATACAAATTTTGTACAGTACAGTACAAACTTTAATTTGTACAAAGTTTGTATTATATATAATGAGTAACAAGATGCTTGTGTCAAATTTAGAAAACATTTTAACACTTAATACATTGGTTATAGAAAAGATTATAACATACTGCTATTAATTAATTAAGTAAATTATTCTTCCTGATAATAAATCAGCTAAATTAACATTTAAATATTGCTAAAATTGCAACATGTAAATTACAAGTTGCAATTTAGGAAAATCTTAAGATCTGTTTTGGAATTTATTCTGTTGATCCAAAAACACTGCACATTGCAATGGAAATGATTTTATATAACAACACTTTTAATGAAGAACTGAGCTATAATTTGGACCAATTTGCTATCACAATTTAAACTTTAAACAAGAAATTTATATTCTCAAATACAAAGAGAGAATAAAATCCCATTTTCAAAGAAGCATACAAGAGTTGTTCTGAAAGTAATGCCTGTTTGATCTTTCCTTCAATACTATTAACCCAAATATAATGCCTTTACAATATCAGTTACAATATATGCTACAATATATGCTGCCTAGAATTTTTTTAATTCTAGGTGTTAATAATTTCTTTCCTTAATTCTTTGCCAAATCATGACTATGAAAAAGAATGAAAAAGCTGTCATCAAATTCTTGACCAAAAAAGAATGTTTTGTCAACATCCACAAAATGCTTTGAAATATGTATAGTGAGGTGACAATTGACGTATATATGATGACTAATGTGTAAAGATTGATAAAAAAAAAAAAAAAAACTTTAAAAAGAAGTTAAATCAGCATTGAAAACAAACCACAAAGTAGAAAGCCATTGACAGTAATCACTGATAAAAACCAAAATAGGATGAACAACATGATAGCACATCACTGTGCAACAGATTGTGACCACAGCCAAGTTTTTTCAGCAGTGCTGTCCAGCAGATTATCCACATCTTGGAATACCAGAAAATGTGTGCCAAGTATGTTCCTCATTAGTTAACATCTGATTTGAAAGAGGAAAAAAAAACACTTTACATATTTTTTAAATTTAGCAATATTTGAAGCCAAATCTTTTTTCAAAAATGTTTGCACTGATAATGACCCTTTATGACCCAGAGACATAAGACTCAGTTAATAGAGTAGGTGACACTCCATCACCCCAAGACAAAGAAATTCAAAAACCAGCATTCAGCACACAGGATTATATCAAATGTAAAACATCAACAGCACACCGCGATATAACGAAGTGTTCCTTCAAATTTTTCTTCAATTTTTTGTCCATTTCTCACTTGAGGAAGAACTTTATTGTTCAAAAACGTTAGTAACAGTTTATTTTTTGAGAAAATGCACCGTTATTGGTTTTTTGGAGATTAGTTAGCAAATGTCTTCTGGAATGACAAAGGGAGTAATTTTGCATAATTTCCTAAAGCACACAACAACAATGAACAGTGTTTACTACATTGAATTACTTCAAAAAACATTCTAGAAACACATGAATATAATCCAGTTTCATCTCAATAATGCATGACCCCACACTTCTTTGGTAACATCAGATTTATGAATAAATGGGATGATCAGTAATGCCACATCCCCTTACAGCCGTAATCTCACATTCTCCAACTTCCACATGTGTGGTCAAATAAAGGAAAGCCTATAGAGTTGGCACTTCAATGATACAGGCAAAGTGCAAGACATAACAGCTACTGAGTGAAAGAATACCCCACACTTTCTAAAGTGGCTTGAAAAATAGTACAAATGCATTTTTACAAGTGGAGACAATTCTGATTACTACAATGTTTGAGACAAAATTACTCAAAGCAAAACACAAAACAGAGTTACTCTACACATGTATATAGTTGTATATCATTTGTTAATAAAGGAGGTAAGGCTTGTTCTCACTCATAACAGCTTCCATAATGGCTTACAACACAGAAGCTGAAGTGTTGTTCTCATTACTGTAGCATGTCACTGAATGACTTGTCCATATGGTGTATGTTGGAAAGGCTGGGTTGGCATTGAATTTGATGTGTTGAATACTGACAATGTAAATGATGCTATTGTATTGATCAATACTTAATTTTTCTGCTTGCAGTCACAATAAAAGTTGTGATCAACTCAACCTTTCTGTTGTAGTAGTTGTCATGATGTCAGACCACATCATGACTTTGCTGGTTACCACTACAGAGTGAGAACCAGTCCTTATAATCTGACAAGCATTAGTTTCAGTACAGCCTATGTACTGTACACATAATGCTAAACAAAAATTATCAAATAATTCTATTAGATGTTAGTATGGATTTTTTTTTATATTTTCAAAATATTTTAGATTGATAACACCCTATAAAAGTCAAATACAGGAACAAAATCATTATTAAATATATACAAGAAAAATTTTTAAACCTTATGGTTCATAATCATAATATAAGATTTTCAAGATCAATAATAATGTTGACAAAGCATATTTCTTAATTAAGATATTGTTATATAATAAGTATATTTGTTTGTATGCAAATTTATTCTTAATTAAAAACATTTAATGTGTAAATAAAAACTAACTATGGCTAAATAAATAAATGAGCAAATTGTCTGCTATTTAATAACTGTTGAATTCAAATTTTAATATAAATAGAATTTAGACAAAATAATTATGTATCAATCTAATTCCAAATATTTCTAGACTTGCATAAATTAAATGGTTGTTTAGTCTAAGTTATACTTAAATCAATTTATAATTTGATAAATTCTATAATAAAAATGTAACCTTATAATTTTAACTAATTCTCTATGGAATATTACAGTCTTAATTGCATAACTATATAAATCTGATATATAGGATATAGATAGAAAAAAATCATCATATAGGTTTTCAGAATGTTATGTAATTTTAAGAATGAATTTGCAAACATAAGTATTTCTCTATGATCAGTCTTACTTTTAGATTGACAGATATAAATCAAATTTTAAAAGTGTATTGATATAACAGAATACAATTTATGATTGCAACATATACAATTAAAATAGATTATTTGAGTAAGAAATTTGATTAATATTTACATCAAATAACAAAAGTT